ACCATAAGGTTTTTTTTTTATTTCGGGCATCAGATAGGTGTACTGTGTTCCGTCAACCTGTACAGTTTGGCTTTCTCTGTTTTAATAGTAAACGGCTTCACCCATCGATTCATTTTCAAGATCCATAGTCAAAGCTCAAACAAAAGTACTGTCGGGACGACAACAGAATATTAATTAAATTAATTAATTAAACTTCACTGAAACTGGTGGAAAATACGAACAAAGAAGATTTACCAGGAGACATTTGAAAACGTACAGAGATCAAGCGTTCCGAACGTGAAATTGCTAACTTTGACTGACCAATGTGCACATGGCTGATGTCGCCGATGAAGCAGAGAACACTTACTCTTCCGAAACATCTTATCTCAAGCTGGTCTTATTCTCCTTGTATTTTTTCAAGAGTCTTTGTGTATTTTTTTTTTTTTTTTATACTATGCCCTGGTTTTATTGAATCTGAGTTTGGATAATGTTTATGTTGGATGTTGGTATTTTCTTGGGCTTTTTTCACAAGATATCAGGTTTGTCTAGTCCCGAGTTTCCCATGAAATTTGATTTAAATTCAATAAGTCTGATTCAAAAATTTGATGAATTAAAATCATATTCAAGTTGCATATCTTTGTTGACAACAATTGACACAGCAAACATAATTGAAAGTTCATACAAAGAGACACTGCTTGTTCAACAGGCCGACATTTAAATCACGTGATCATTTTTCTTCTGACTGAAAGGATTAACACTACAAAAGAGGACATTTTTAAAGGACTACTGTACATGAAAGGGGAGATCGGTTAAAGAGACATACTACACAATCACTCTCGTATCCATCACTCTAGACTTAAAGTCAACGTGACATACGTATTTTTGAAAGATACTTTATGAATATAATGTTTTATGTACATATTTGTAATTTATCAATCCTGTTTATATAGACACGAATACAATCACCAATCATTTATTTTGGCAATTTCCTTCTGTCTAGTTTTCTTTAACCGATATGATTCATCACCTACCATCCTATAGTATAAATTCTTTTGTTCTTTCATAAACCAAACGTATACTGTATTCGTTAGTCTTATTTATGAAACTCAAATGCATTATGCATATTTAATTTTTATGTTTAAAATTTCTGAAAATGCTCTCACACCTAGCGACGTCAGTTTTTCCAGAGTTATAACAAAGTGCATTTCGATTAGATATAAGATTCTGGTTAAGAGACGCCGAAGTATAAAAAAAATGGAAATCGAAAAAAACAAACCAAATGAACTACATTCTGGAATTGAATCGTAATTCAAAGAAAATGTTGTACAAAGGACACGTGTAATATCACCTTTTGATAAAAATTAAAAGTTAGATACAGTAGACGGTTTCCTAAGTGTATCGTACAGCTGTTTATCACGTTATTTAGTTGAATATTTGCCCCTTGTAAGGAAAGTTTTGGGTTCTCTCCCCTAGCCGAGACATACCATAGTTTATATAATCATTTTATGCTTATTATGCCGGTGATGTAACGACTGGGTTACATGCTTCTTTGTATGTATACAAGAAACTTTGGGTATCAGATGAAACTTTTACGATATTGAAATGTTGATACAGAGGCAGACTCGCCTGCGTTGACGTTAAATAGACTCGATTTGACTCCAATTTCCTACATACCAACTCTGCGTGTATATCCCGGGATGAAACTTATATTAGGGTGTAGTATCTGGAGAGTTTTTTCGCTCTTTTCTGTCCCCTTCTCGGGGAGGCATTTAAGGGAAAGATGGCAATATTATTCATTCATTTCAAAACTTGTGGTCATTACTTTTTCATACAGAAAATATAACATGGTTTTCTTCAGACCATATGACCTTTGGTCAAATGGCCAAACTTGAGAAAACGTGCTTAATAATATGCGTATATAATACTAACACAAAATAATCGGCTTATATAGTGTTTACTCATGTAAATAAAGGCCAAGATTTTTATTTCGAAATACTAACGGGTCCTGACACTTTAAACATACCCGAAAATTGGCTTTCGTCGTAAGAGCTTTAAATACACATCTACAAGTGTTCCTACGGGTATATACCAACTAGGATCTCCATGTACACACCGTGGCTTGGATAGTTATGTCTACCTGAGGACGGCCGACTCCTGAAGTCACCTAGAAATGGGATTGTAAGTAATTTGATATTTATATATATATTGTGTATTTCCTCGGATATGGAATTATAGATGAAAGAGACCTTGATTCGTTAACTTTCAATAGCGTTAATGCATGGGTGTCTTAGTTAATGGATAAAATTGGTTTGTTTTGAATATCAAACATAATTTGTTAATGCTTTGAACTAGGGACAACTCACAACAAAGGGTAATTTTTGCTATTATTGAAACAGATTTTATCCTGATTGTTTTTATGAGAAAATTGTCGTAACATATTGACATATTGGTGATCGAATATAGGAAAACATTAATAATCGAAGTGGTTTTGGACCTACCAAGGAATGTAAAGTTTCAGTCATTAAACAGGTAGACTGGTCATCTGTTTTAGTTAGAAGTCATTCTTAGTAAGCCATATATTAACTGGCCAGGACTGGAAAAGTAAAATCATTTTCTTTACACATTCCTCTATAATTTAATCTAAAAACAGCAAAGAAACGGCCAACATTTCAACAGAATCTTAATTCAAACACAAATTTGATAAAAGTAGGGCAAAATGTGAACTAGAGAAAAATGTTCAAGCTAATTAATGAAAACGTACAAGGAGGATAACACTGTTTTAATGAATTCAACTCCAGACTAATTAGTTAATATAGACGTTTTATTTAAGTTTGATATGGTGTGTGAGTATCATTGCAGTAATATTATAATTCACTGTATGTGGTTAAACCACCAAGGTATACTGCTCTATAGACCAAATCGGCTTATACTAACAGTACCATATACATGTGTACAACTTTGATCTACAACGAAGTTTAAAGGTATACTTCGTTCTAGATTTAAATGTTCTATTATATACAGTATATATGAGATTTTGTTCTTTGAAAGTACCGTAGCGTTGGACTCGATCATAATATAAACAACACTTAAATCATATGTTGATTATCGTGAACTAGAAAGACACACATGAATTATTATGTAAGCATTTTTCATCTTGTTTTCAATTTCACAACATTCTCAATTATGGTTTTCTTGTCTTTCTACTATTGTCACTGAGCTTTTTCCGGCTTAATTCGTTCGTAAAATCTCCCTCTTCTTTCCACATATACGCCACATTCAACAGCTCAGTATTTAAACGGAGGTTGTCCTTAATGACCATTACTGTTGGTAGGTCATTAACCAATTGAAATTAATCTTACACAGACATTGTACTATTTATATATCCAAAGAGTACTTCATGTCAATACAAAACTGCGGGTCCAGTTGTGTATTCTCGAAAAAGTTCTCATATGATTTAGTTTAACATACGTTGATAAATTCGAAATCATTTAGCGGCTCCATTTTTAGATATGAATATTTTTTTCTTTCCTCCTGAAATCGAGTTTCTGGAAGAGTTGGTATTAAACTCAGATTTAAACATTTGAATTAAAATTAAAATAGCGTACCATGCGTTCACATTTAACTGCGTTACGGTAAGAAATGAAAACCAAGAAATGGAATTTTCCCCAATTTTTGCAAGCATTGGAAATGTTTGACAGAGTGGAGGGTACGACACTTTCTTATAAAACAGCATTATGCTGACGAGAAAAACTTGTTGGCAACTGCTGAAGGACTGAATTCTTCTATTGACCTCGCTGTAAATAGAATCCTGTAAGTCATATTTGAGTAATTAAGGTTTAAATGATAAGATAAAATAGCACAGTTTTGTAATAAATCACAGCGTCTATGATTTTTTTTCTTTTACAACACGCCTGATCACTCTTTTTTCATTCGTCATCAATCATGCTTCATTTAAATTTGCATATTAAACAGAATTATGTCAACGACGTCATAATAGCTTTAAGTACCTGTGTTTCTATATATAAATTGTATCGTGAATTAATAGGTTTCAAATATATTATATAATTATATATCATTTTATTTTGTTTCATTAATCTATAAGGTATGGAACTCGGATACATACAAGAAAATAAAACAGATGTACAGGTTTGGCAGCCCTTTAGTGCTTTTAGACAAATTGGCGATAAGAACTTGTTTGTCAGTTTTGGTAATACTTTAACACCGTAGTTATATACAGGGTATTATGCCACCATGCCCATGGTATGACATTTCATTATGATAACACTATAAAGCGGTCCTGAGCGGTTCCATCATTTGTTGGCATTGTCTTTGATATCAAGAAAAGTTAGAACTCTAAACATTCAAACAAAATGATCTTCGAGGATAAAATTCTTAAACAGTATTTTTTTATCTTTTCTTCTCTATCCGTATCTTCGGAGGCAGTCATATTCATATCAACATGACAATAACTACAATAAAAAAATAAACAAATTAATTAATAAATATTTTGGTGCTTTTCGCTTTGAAAGTACTGCGCTCAAATATTGAGGCGCTACAGTTTCTGGTTGTTGATCATGTTACATTTATTTAGGATAAAAAAAAATAATTAAAAAGAAATGTAAAGTAAGATAAATAATAACAAAAACGGCATGCTCATAAGTATTTGCTTAAATTGAAATGTTGAGGGAATATCGGAAATCCTCATTATATCTGTTGCGCAAAGAACACGCATATGAGCACTACATTTTTATTTTAAGCAATAAACACAGTATTTAGCATAAAAGTCACACATTGGTTTCCTACAAATTTTTTGAAACGAACCAATAAATTTGGAAAAACGTTTGTTGAATTCCATAAATTTCATATTAAATGGAAACGAATACTAAATTCCTTTTATCAAATATTCGCGAAATCAACCGTTTTAAAGACTTACCAAATCGAAATAGACGATAGTGACATTTTATACCGTTCTCTTTGACGACGTCACGTTGAATTTGACACAATAAATTAATGACATCAAAATGGAACCCACTGGAAGTTTCAGCAAATCCCATTTCCGCTGGTAATATCACATGTATGCAACGGAAATTTAAAAAGTATTATTACACTGGTAACACGAAAACTATGGGATAAAATTAAAGTATATCGTTCTACTTTTTAAGTATATAGCATATTTTTTAACAACTTTACCAAGATTTTTTTATTGTGTTGCACTTTAAAAGCCCCAATATACGTAAAAATCACTATAAAAAACAAACTTTATCTTATTTTCCCCGTAATATATGTAACAAAACAAATACTTTCCTTTAATTAAAGAAAATAAAACTGACTGTTTTCAATTTAAATAAAAATTGAAAAAATTGGAAAATAAACAATGTGGGACCCACAATAATTCATACATTACCGCTCATTGCGCATGTGCATATTCCGCGTGTGTAAACATGGCAGACACAGTACAGACGTTCACCAGTCGCTTCCTTTTTTTCCAATCATACATCAGGCCAGTTCTGAATTCTTACGTTATAATTGTGCGTCGTATCGTTTCTAAACTAATTATTCCTTCTAATAATTTCCCAAAAACTGAATGTTTATCACAGGAATACCTCAAGTCTACAACAAGACTTCGCAAACAATGTTTGTAAACAAAAACTTACCGAAGACATAGCTGCATGTGCTTCCTCTATAAGTAGAAACCTCAACTCTCGCGAGATCAGGTCATGAACTTTCCGACGTGGTTCGGCAACAATCGTAATTTCGATGGCGGCGTGTTTAAAATAGAGGTGTGTTTACAAATAGCGAGTTTCAACTGCTCATATATCAATACTTTATGCACAAAGTCATGGTAACTATTGTTTGAATAACTTAATTTGAACTACATATTAGAGAATATCTCAATAATTATGTGTGATTCTACACTAAATTTTTGGTGAATGTTACGTATATTGGGGCTTTAATATGAAAAATTATATCTCGTCTGTACTAGTATGTCATTCAGGAGTATTTTTTATACTAACTTATCTATCACGCAGAATGCCACTTTTGAAAGAAAGACACTCAATCTTAGCTAACAAATGTCATTATCACTTTCTACGTCGGCTCCTTTTACCGCCCTGGCTTGGGGTCTCCTAGTAGAAAGACTCTTCCTCAAGGACATAACCATTACAGTGTAGGAATTTATTAGGATTGTCAACATTCTAAGAAACACTGATCGTCCGAGTAGTAAAGTCGAACCAAGAACCTCAGATCTTCACAAGTTATCACATCCTACGATCTGCTATTTGTGCTGTCCCGGTACCAAATATAAATTTGTGACAACGGTTTAAAAATGCTAATACGATAGCATAGGAAACTGACATATTTTGATAAAGTGGATTACCTACCTGAAACCCCCACCCCCACCCCATCAGTTCTTGAGAGGAAACTTTCAATGTTGTGTTTATGACGTTACATAGTATAAAAACTTAGTGTAAACCGTTAAACCGTGTAAATTCGTTGGTCGCAATCTTCGTGGGTTTGGGTGGTTTTATTTTATTTTTTTTTTTTAATTATTATCTTTTTGTTTGTTCGTTTTTTTTTTTTTTTTTTTTTTTTTGTTTTTTTTTTTTTTTTAATTTTTTTAGGGCTTTTCACTAAGTGGTGAAAAGACCTATTGTTTTTGTTCGGTTTCTTATCATTCTTCTTATTATTATTATTCCAATTTTGTGGGTTCGTAATCTTTTAAATTGAAATATATAGATATACATTCTATTCACCTTTATGTAGATACGTATATGAACTTGGCGATGCCGTTTTTTTAAGTAGGTCAAAAATCCAATATGGCCGCCATGACGTCATAAGTTAAAAACTTAAAAACGACAATATCTCGAAAACCGTTGATTATACAGAGTTTATGCAGTTGTATTATTTGTAGAGGATTTCCTTATCTAAATTTTTGTCATGATATGTTATCAGAGAATATGTCGAACAAAAAAGCTCGCTGTTGGGTAAAGTTTTCAAAATTTAACAAATTTTTTAATTTTTTTCAATTTTGAATTTTCTTGAAATTTTCTTCTTCAGATCGATGCAGAATATCCTTCCGATGAAGTTAATGTTTTGTTTTTCGGTAGATTGTCGCCAAAGAAGTGAAAAGCCCGCAAAATTGTTAGCAATTGTTAAATGGAGACGTACGACTAAGTTCAGCTAAAACCTCACTTTTAGCTAGAGCTGTTCAAAAATTTATTGATGCCTCTGGGCGATTTGGCTAGTTTCTGCATTTCTTCCTTTGTACTATATATTCCCTTCTTCCTTCCTCACCTATCCTCCTTTCTTCTTTACATCCTTCTTTTTTTTTTCAATGAAAAATATTATGATTCAATATATTGTTACATTGCTTGTAGTTAAGTATTGTTTTACCATTCATGTAATGGAGAGGGCTTAATAAGTTGGAAAAACTTGTGCCCAATCCAATTGTACATAGTTTTGCAATAAAATAATTATTAAATCAAAAAAACAATTTCTAGTTGTTTTTGTTTTTGTAAATACTGCTAATTCGCGAACAAATTTAGCCCAGTGAATCCAATTGAACTTGTTTTAACAAATTGATGACATTTGAATTCGTGATTTCAGATTAGCCCCGAAACCATCGAAAATAAACCCTCAACGAATATTAAAAATTTACAGAAAATCAGAACAGTGTCGTGAAGAGTAATCAGGGATGTTCTGATTAAGTGTTAACGTGCTGCTTTGATCCTTTTTATCTTTAACTGAAAAACGATTCCTTCAAATATCAGTTGGGATTGTCATACCACACCTGTTCTCCTGTGACCAACGCTTCTATGACGATGTGAACCCCTATACCGTGAAGAAGACCGTGAGATGTCCGCGTTTTCTATTTATCATTAACAACATAAAATGTCAATTGTCATTAATTTAGGTCAGAGTAGGTCATTTCATGTCTGCTATAAATAAAAAAATTGAAATAAAATATTTTATTAAAATGTCGCATAAAATTTTGAAATGACGTTAACTTAATAATATATACATACAAAATACGACCTGTTATAATTTGACTTAAGAGACACTGAAAAAATATAGTAAAAAAATTTAAGATATTTAAATGCTTTTTAAATTTTAAATTTTTTATATTATTTTAAGGAAGTTTTTAAATCTCTTCAACATCCATTGGCACATTCATAACACGACTTCATTATTGTACCTGTACAATAATACAAGCTTTAAGGGCTCGGAATGAGTAAGAGTTTCAAGGAGCTTTCAGCGGGGACTAAGTACCTGTGGAATTAAAAGCTTAGTGCAATACACAAGTATGGTTCTACATGCACGGAAACAAAACCAGTAACGCTTGATTAATATCGGATAAAAGGAATATTAAAGAGAGATATATGATATCATTTAAAGTCATTTAAAGTCATTTAAAGTCTTTTTTTTCAATTTCTTGGAGGTCAGAAGTTGTTTCAATGATTTAACATGACGTTTTCATCACCATGATTTATTTTAATTGAAAACAAATCTATACCAAGAATGAAGTCATTTTAAGACTTATAACATAATGATATATGTAAGTATAGGAAATAGTATTCTTTTTATTTGTGTCTTTATCTAATTCATGACTTTACACATGTATGATGTTATTTCGGCAGCTTCGACGACCTCACCGGAAATGCGATTTCCGTCGTGACCTTTGACGTCAGTGATGACACCTATATTCAACAGGCAAACCGGAAGTTGTGTGTGGCATTTTTGATTATCCTTTCTGCCCTTGTAAGTGCAAGGCAATACGTTGGCGAACCGATCACGTGTTTCTGTCCTGCAACTTTCGAGAAATTCCATGTCGCTTACACAAACAGTTATTGTTGGATAAGAAATAATTATGCCGTACCTTTTGATGAAATACTCCCGGTCTCGGATATTTCTCGGGAGGATAGCGAGATCTCGTATTATCAATGGGTTCCTCTGATTCTTGTACTTTTGGCGGGAATGTTTTACCTTCCGAGATTATTTTGGAAGGGACTGAGTTCATATTCAGGTATCAACACAAAGAAAATTCTCGAAATGTCAAATGAAGCAACATTCATGTCCCCGACAAAGCGCACGGAGCACCTGGACGTTATCGCGTCATACATTGACAAATGGATAGATATTCGGGAAGGAAAGTCATCTGCCCATCACCAAATTCGGCGAATGAAAGAAAAGCTCCATCTTGGTGGAATTCATTCTGGAAACTACCTGTCATTTGTCTTTGTAATGACTTGTCTGTTTTACTTAATGAATACTGTTTCACAGATATTTCTTATTGACGCTCTACTGGGGAATAACTTTCGGAATCTTGGGCCAGATTTTGTCCGCGGAATGGCTACCAATAAAAATTGGGAGGACTTAAAAAGATTCCCGCGAGTTGCGTTTTGTGATATGGATATTCGGCAACTACAAAACGTTCAAAGATGGACAATTCAATGTTCGCTTCCTATTAACTTATTCAACGAGAAAGTTTTCGTTTTAATGTGGTTTTTGCTCATCACAATGTCGGTAGTGAACGGAATTTATCTTGTGATTAGCATTACTATGACTTTTATTCCGAGGAGAAAGAACATGTACGTTCGGAAGTTCCTGGATTGTACAAGATTCCCTGCAGAAGTCCGAAATAGTACGAAACTACTCGATGTCGAAACGAAGTTTGTTGATATGTATTTGAGACATGACGGTGTTCTACTTTTATGGCTAGTAAGTCATAACACTAGTCAAGTCGTGGGGTCCGAACTTGTTGAGAAACTGTGGATAAATTACTGTAAAAAACCCTACGTTCAAACGTTCTTGACCATATCGGACATAGAACCGTAGGCACGCAAGAGTTATCTCTCTTGATTTCCAAACTGAAATATCTATTTGTTCGTCAAGTCTTCGTAATTTCTAAAAGTCTGTTGAAGTTATCTCCCTTTGAATCAGATTTACTGGTACAGTATATTTACTGGTGTTGTTGACCTGTTGATGCATATTTTAATTAAACTTAATTAACCAAACTGTTAATTATCAGGGGCTTCTATGTTAGGATAATGAACACGTTTAACGGATGGATGGATTGATTGATGGAATAGCAAACATCCAATATATCCTCCAACAATTGGCCAATACACTTACCAAGTAGATGGAATAGCATTGCTGTCCGGACAGTCAGTGTCACACAGAATTAGAGACGCTGTAGCTGTTCGGCAGGAGGTACACATGATCCCCTGTGAAATCCATGATTTTGTTTCTTCTAATTCTGGGCACGGAATAATATAATAATTCGGACATAACTTTGCTTACTAAAAATATAAACATTTCTTCGCCAGTATCCTTATGTGACGTCATCAATGATGTCATGAATGATGTCATAAATCTGGGAACCGGCAACGTCTTTTTATACAAGTACCAGTTTACAAAGCGGTTTGTTGCATACTACAGGGTCGTCAGAGGTAATTAAAAGTGTGTCCATTGCACAGTCAGGAGGAGGCTTCGGTGTCTTTGATCTTTCATTCTTCCTTGTTCTTCTCTCTGAGTTTTATTTTCTACTCTTGACATCCTTTGTGACTTCCGTCATGATAAGTTACGAGGACAAAAAATAAAAAATCTACCTGATAACTGTTGGAAAGTCGTTAGATTGTAATAGCCGAGTTCACCATTTACTATAGTTGGGCTGTTCCATCTAATGTGGTTACATACGCCGATAAAGACCAACCAATTACTGCCGTGCTTCAAATTGGTGGCGCATGCGCAGAGGATAACTAGAAGCTCTGTCAATAATTACATCCACATTTTAGATATAAAGCTTCCCAAAATCAAGATCATGTGAATGATTGATGTAAAACTATAATGCGTGTTATCTGAGGCGACATGCAAAGTGTTGACATAACTTTGGTCAACATTGATGGAGTGAATAGCTAGGAACACAATGGATACAATGAACTAGTAAGGAACATAGTATCTATCATATTCCTAACTATTTCATGGTATGTATTGTGTTCCTAACTAGTTCATGGTATGTATTGTGTTGCTAACTAATTCATTGTATTTGTTGTGTTGCTAACTAATTCATTGTATTTATTGTGTTGCTAACTAGTTCATGGTATTTATTGTGTTGCTAACTAGTTCATGGTATTTATTGTGTTGCTAACTAGTTCATGGTATTTATTGTGTTCCTAACTAGTTCATGGTATTTATTGTGTTTCTAACTAGTTCATGGTATTTATTGTGTTTCTAACTAGTTCATTGTATTAATTGTGTTCCTAACTAGTTCATGGTATCATTGTGTATTTATTATTGATTGTGTTCCTAACTATTTCATGGTATGTATTGTGTTCCTAACTAGTTCATGGTATTTATTGTGTTCCTAACTAGTTCATGGTATGTATTGTGTTCCTAACTAGTTCATGGTATTTATTGTGTTGCTAACTAGTTCATGGTATTTATTGTGTTGCTAACTAGTTCATGGTATTTATTGTGTTGCTAACTAGTTCATGGTATTTATTGTGTTGCTAACTAGGTCATGGTATTTATTGTGTTGCTAACTAGGTCATGGTATTTATTGTGTTGCTAACTAGGTCATGGTATTTATTATATTACTAACTAGTTCATGGTATGTATTGTGTTCCTAACTAGTTCATGGTATTTATTATATTCCTAACTATTTCATGGTATGTATTGTGTTCCTAACTAGTTCATGGTATTTATTGTGTTCCTAACTAGTTCATGGTATTTATTGTGTTCCTAACTAGTTCATGGTATTGATTGTGTTGCTAACTAGTTCATGGTATGTATTGTGTTCATAACTAGTTCATGGTATTTATTGTGTTCCTAACTAGTTCATGGTATTGATTGTGTTCCTAACTAATTCATTGTATTTATTGTGTTGCTAACTAGTTCATGGTATTTATTGTGTTCCTAACTAGTTCATTGTATTTATTGTGTTCATAACTAGTTCATGGTATTTATTGTGTTGCTAACTAGTTCATGGTATTTATTGTGTTTCTAACTAGTTCATTGTATTTATTGTGTTGCTAACTAGTTCATGGTATTTATTGTGTTCTTAACTAGTTCATGGTATTTATTGTGTTGCTAACTAGTTCATGGTATTTATTGTGTTCTTAACTAGTTCATGGTATTTATTGTGTTTCTAACTAGTTCATGGTATTTATTGTGTTCATAACTAGTTCATGGTATTTATTGTGTTCTTAACTAGTTCATGGTATTTATTGTGTTGTTAGTTCATTTATTTTGTTGCTAACTAGTTCATGGTATTGATTGTGTTGCTAACTAGTTCATGGTATTTATTGTGTTTCTAACTAGTTCATGGTATTTATTGTGTTTCTAACTAGTTCATTGTATTTATTGTGTTCTTAACTAGTTCATGGTATTTATTGTGTTGCTAACTAGTTCATGGTATTGATTGTGTTGCTAACTAGTTCATGGTATTTATTGTGTTTCTAACTAGTTCATGGTATTAACTGTGTTGCTAACTAGTTCATGGTATTCATTGTGTTTCTAACTAGTTCATGGTATTTATTGTGTTTCTAACTAGTTCATGGTATTAACTGTGTTGCTAACTAGTTCATTGTATTAATTGTGTTGCTAACTAGTTCATTGTATTTATTGTGTTCTTAACTAGTTCATGGTATTTATTGTGTTGCTAACTAGTTCATGGTATTTATTGTGTTCCTAACTAGTTCATGGTGTTTTGTTTGTCGTAGTTTACCCTTTCGGACAATCTCTGTATCTTTGCCGAGTAATATACTAATAGTTTCTTTCGTCCAAACTTTTATTATCTGCACACGTGACTTCTTGTCGTGATATTGCTACCCGCCATGCGTAATGCATTTCTGCATGATAATGCCACTTCCTTGTCACAGCTTCGAGACCGATAGTATGTATGGTTTTTTTCTGCGGGGTTGCTCGAGCTACGCTCGCGATAACTTCCGTCCCCTTTTTCATTTTATTTATGTTTTTTTTCTTTCCTTTTAAAACAAAATATTACATTATGATATTGTGTATCTATCATCGATTTGAATAGGGTGATAATTGCTCTTCTAGTCATGTCGCTTAATTTCGAAGGCATTTCTTGTCTTCTTTCTGACAAGTTGTGCAAAGCTAGGCTCACTGACATTTTCTACCCAGAGTTGTCGTCCCTAACTCGTAAAGAGTTGTCGTTCCTTGCAGTCAAAGAGTTGTATATCTTACTAGTAGAGATTGGCGTAAAAAATACCGACATAAAGGCTTCAAGATTTAGATTGCTGTTGATATGAACGACTGTAAATGTTATGCAAATTGGAAACTACTGCGTCAAACTGCATATAGATTTCACGGGAATAACATAAATATCAAGCTCACAAAAGCGTTTTTTCTACAGACAATGGACTGATGTTGATGTACATCAGAATATTCTTTGGTACATGTTTATCACGCCAAGGTCAATAAATTTCGTAATTTGTAATATGTATATTTTGAAGTGTGCCACTATTCGGATGAATTAAGACCAGTGATTGAAATCCCAATTGCAATCGAAAACCTTTACCGTATTTCCGAAACAACAGAGTCAAGCCATATATACGTTTATGTTTGGTAAAGATATCTACTAATAGTTTACAAGCTTTATAAATCAAATGATTGACACACGCACAGTGTTACATGTAGTAATATGATTAGTATCATGTTCTTTGAGGCGCTTTATGGCAGCCCTTGAAGTTTGTCAGGTTACAAACACGATGAAAGCCTTTCGTTTGGCGACAATTGATTCAAACTTATCACGCGCTTATCAACAGGTACTTGTAATAAACATGGATTTCCTGTTACTACTACAAACTAATCTTAAACTTCAAGATTATGTGGACATTTAAATATCGTATCGTTATGTACTGCAGATGTGTACCCGTGCAACTACGTCACCAGCGTGTAGTCCGTGATCAGCAATATATTGCCTAATATCACTACAGAAGATATACCTTGTGTTACGCACACGGAAAATGTCAAATAGTCGTCGAATATTTAAACCTAGCTTAACCCATAAACTCTATATCATTATTCAAATAAACTTTGGAAAATCGGTCATTTTAATTTTTAAAAAACGTTTCAGTCAACAGAGGTGTTTTCATACCGAGACTTAATTATAACGGAAAGGAAAAATAAATCCGAGTGACCTTTATACACAGGTATTTGTCCTCGAGGCCACGTGGTCTTTATAGCAGTCTGTATCTGATAAGTTAAATTATTACATTGTATTTCTCTCCGGAACTTGCGGAATGGAAGGAAGGAATCCCAAGTTTAAAAAAGACAGAAGAAAAAAGAGATCCTTACAACAGTTGACAAACCAAGTGATTTTTATCGATAGACATTTTTATATAGGGGTGTTTCTGTATATATGTTAAATCACTTTTATTTCTTTTAAATCCGCAAGAGGGAAAACCCCTGGAAATTAGTGATTTCTATTAGCAGCCACAGGACCACGAAGGGTTAACATTATTTTATAATATGTAAAACTTGTATACACGGGACGCATGTGTACACTTTACAGTCGAACCTCGTTATCTCGAACTCGCATAACTCGAAGACGCCGTTTAATTCTTAGTATTTCGTCTTTCCCGGCAAACATTTCACCAAGCGTTCGACCTCATTCAAATTGAAAAAATGGAAATTGGTTAACTCGAAATTTTCCAACGGTCCCGAAGCTCGACTCTATATGGGGCGAGGAAATACCATATTGCAACATCTAAATAAATTGGAAAATGAACATAAATATGACTAGAATGTTATCAGGGAAAGATCGGTCAATACAATAATGTTCAAGGCTGGGTAGTTTTATCAGTGACCCTCCTCCCCTGTTCCAATCGGCTCTCAAGACTACCGCTGTGTACCATCAGTATGAAACTAAGGGCAGTAACTCTGTAACTCTGAGAGTAGGGGCCGAGAATGCAAGATTAGTGGGAAAACCCGCTTTATAGCTTTTCACTTATCATCGTTACTTAACTACAAAAGAACAATTTGAAGCGATTGTCACCTGCAGTTGGATATGTGTCACCATGATTAGGTCGTCACGGTGAACTAATTATAATAATCAATTAATAGCTAGGACTAATTAGAGAATAAATTACGTCGTTTATCCCACGTCAAAAGTCCTTCCAGCAAATGACAAGACTACCAAGTATACTGCAGATAAAACAAAGCGGGAGTTTTTAAGCTTGAATTCTTTTCATGTGACTCCATCAAAGGCTATAGCTTTGGGCAGATAGCTGTTGATTTTTTAAGAATACGTGCAAAAAATTAAGTTGCTTAAAACTGGACGGGTTTTGTTATCGTATTGTACGCGTCATTATTGTTATACACTGTAGTAATGTTCTCAGTTTTAACAGATATCGGAAAATCAGGATGAAATGGAACGTATGAAATGTGGTTGATGAATATGTTTTCTCGTTTCCATAGATACTTTCATTTTATATTAGAGAAATTCTGTTCCTTCGGAAATCAAAATGCAGATTGTTTGAACGTAGACGGATTTACCTGAGCACTAGTGTCCAGTGTCCGGGGTCAAGCAGTGCGGACAGGTCAGTAGGTACAAAAACGTGTGAACGTTATACAGCAAATGCCTAAAATCATATTTGTGAGAGACCTATATGTTCTAGTAATATATAGATCATTGTGTATATTTTACATAAATATATTATATATATAATTATATATTATAACATACATATTATATTGTTTGTTATTATAATCATTAGTTGTTTTTATTTCTAATTATTCATTTATTTTTATTTGCAATTTTCGGGAGAGCAAAGTCTCTATGGAAACTTGTTACACTACATTAAAGTTAGTTTCAATGAGTCACCAGAAAAGGTGTCAAGTAACTGCCTACTACTTCACGTGTGTAGCCTTTAAAGATCTTCCTGTACAGGTAAAAAAAATCACAGGTAAGGGGATAAGGTGTGTATTTACCTGTGGGGATTTTTCACAACATCGCTACATAATCGCTGTATCAGCCCCGTCTGTGACCTGTCAAGCAGCACGACACGTACCTATATACCTACTTCATGTTTACCTTACCTGCAAACACCTACAAGTAGATCACAGGTATACAGGCGTGCGTAGGACTCCAAACCAAGATGGCTGACAAAGTTTGACAAGGATGTAGATTTCGTGAAATTGAAATCAGTCACTAACAACATTGAAAATGGGATTGTAAGTATAAGATATTTGCCAATGAAATCGTTGTTTTTGGGCGAGGTGTGGAAAAAGGGGATATTTTTCTACACTGTCAACACACCACGTATTCATTCAGAAAAAAATCCATGGTATTTTCAATTGTCTATGACTTTGGGTACACTGGTTAAAATCCACAAACAGCGAGTATAGCGTAGTCTTATAAACAGGAAATCGAGGTTAAGTTGAAATACGGAGAATTTTTTACTTTTCGCGTACTTTATATCTACACTACATTAAAAAAAACTTTACTGGTCTTGTTGTAGATCCGATATCTAGCGTGTTCTGATTCGCTGAAAGTGTTTTAATGCGTAAAACGAAAAATCATGCGCAGGGACCCGTGACGGTATTCAAAGTAATTTGAAAAAGGCATCATGGCTGTGATTTTTGATATGTCAATATACCCTGGTCACGTTTCATTGAAACGTTCCCCTTATTGTGTAGCAATAGATTCGATGGATAAATGCAAATGGAATGGTACCCCGTTTTATAAGTAATCTCATTTCAATCCACACCAATTGAAAACATTTCATCGTTGATCTTACTTAAGTCTCTTATTTCATTACATATTTTGGCATTTTAAAAATTGATTTTTCAAAATTTAGCTTCGAAATGCTTGTCTTAATTAGTATAAGTATACCATATCAAAACATTGAATATTCCTATTTATAAAGCATTTCTTGTCATAAAATGGAGCGGTATTTTTTATATAAGTTAAATAAGTATTCTTTGCTGTCGATGAAACTTTATAAGTATTCGTGAAAACAGTTAGTCATTTATAATTTCTTGAAAAAATAATCATTACAGTTATTCGTCCGTTTGAAATATGTAAATATCATAATACATATCAATCTCGTTACGGCTGAGCCTGTACAGATCAAAGGGACTCGTCACACACACGGTCATCTCCCAACATGCTCTGTAGTTATAATACACGTAAACCCACTGGTATCAAGTCCCTATGAAACGTGTCACTTTCTCCGGAAGATCACCTTAAAACTTAATAAATAAGTACGGATTACAATTATACAGGAGTTCCGGAGACTAAACCTTTTATGGAAAAAATGTTGATAATTATCATTGTTTGTATGGCGCCCACTTAACACACGCTTTACTTAGCAAATTTCCTTTTTAACCATTAAACTAGCTCTTAAAAAAGAACATCCGATGATACCATTTTTCTTTAAATTTATCTTATTTGTTTGTGAAAAGATCCCATTTTGAACGTTATAGATAAATAATGGAAATAAATATGATAAGAATATATGCAATAGATGTTTCATTTTTCTCAATGGAAAGTTTGTATAAGATGAAATGATATTATGTTGTTTTTTTAACTGTTTGCCTTATGTACAAGTATCATCTGAATCATCTGGACCCACGGACTGGCACGTATATGTGCCAGTCCGTGGGTCCAGATGATTCAGTTAAAGATATATATATATATCCATTATCTATATTCAGTACAGCATTCAAGATAGGAGGGGTGAACTTACATGCCGTGTACTCGCTAATCTCGAATACCGTCTACGGTATCTATAAACTACATTATTTATTAACAGCGACACAGGTCCCCTGTGCCGTTATTAAAATTCGTTGTGGATTTAACCATAATGTTTGACAACATATGTAGCGAATCCTTATATTGATTTTCCATTTCGGCCTCGAAGGTCGATTTAAAATTCAACAAACAAGTTTGTGATCTTTCTAATATATTAAGACTGAGCTACGAATAAAATTCGAACGACAAATCAGTTATATTGTCATAACATCCCCCTTCAAACAAAACAAAACAAAACAAAAACAAAACACAAAAAAACACAGAAATTAAAAACCGGAAGTTCATTATAAACTGCACCATCCCGATAAAATGCCACCGATTTCTCCCCTACAACCTGGCCACCCCGATAAAATACCACCGATTTCTCCCCTACAACCTGGCCACCCCGATAAAATGCCACCGATTTCTCCCCTACAACCTGGCCACCCCGATAAAATGCCACCGATTTCTCCCCTACAACCTGGCCACCCCGATAAAATGTCACCGATTTCTCCCCTACAACCTGGCCACCCCGATAAAATGCCACCGATTTCTCCCCTACAACCTGGCCACCCCGATAAAATGCCACCGATTTCTCCCCTACAACCTGGCCACCCCGATAAAATGTCACCGATTTCTCCCCTACAACCTGGCCACCCCGATAAAATGCCACCGATTTCTCCCCTACAACCTGGCCACCCCGATAAAATGCCACCGATTTCTCCTCTACAAACTGAGCCACCCCGATAAAATGCCATCGATTTCTCCCCTACAAACTGCGCCACCCCGATAAAATGTCACCGATTTCTCCCCTACAAACTGCGCCACCCCGATAAAATGCCATCGATTTCTCCCCTACAACCTGGCCACCCCGATAAAATACCACCGATTTCTCCCCTACAACCTGGCCACCCCGATAAAATGCCACCGATTTCTCCCCTACAACCTGGCCACCCCGATAAAATGCCACCGATTTCTCCTCTACAACCTGGCCACCCCGATAAAATGCCACCGATTTCTCCTCTACAAACTGCGCCACCCCGATAAAATGCCACCGATTTCTCCTCTACAAACTGAGCCACCCCGATAAAATGCCATCGATTTCTCCCCTACAAACTGCGCCACCCCGATAAAATGTCACCGATTTCTCCCCCACAAACTGCGCCACCCCGATAAAATGCCATCGATTTCTCTGCAACCTGGCCACCCCGATAAAATGCAACCGATTTCAACCCTACAAACTGCGCAACCCCGATAAAATGCCACCGATTACTCCTCTACAACCTGGCCACCCCGATAGAATGCCACCGATTTCTCCCCTACAAACTGCACCACCCCGATAAAATGCCACCGATTTCTCCTCTACAAACTGTGTTACACGGAAACCACAAAAAAGTGCATGGACAATTAGACCATGTATTCCGGGAGCGGAAGCGTCGTCTACCTCAACGGCGACTCCTTCAATGTAAATCATGGTCAATTCAAGTGTGCAATGTCACGTTCCGAAATGAGAACAATGTTAACAACGAATCCACAAGGCATACATGCTGCAACGAGCATCGAACACAACACGCGATACACGGTGACATATAAACAAACAGGTACCATAAGTTCACGTGTAATCTAAAATATTCGTTAAGTAAACAGTATAATATGATGACGTCACCATAATACATGTAATTTATAAAAAGTGACTCTTTTTCTAAAACCCACTGTTCTGTTTACTTTTCACTTGTTTTAATTGTATTTCAATCCCGCAATTTCATCCTTTTATAAGAAAAAACTTTGAACACAGTCAATGTGTTGTAAATATACTCTAAATTGTCAATGACATTTACATACAAACGTATACAAGTCAAGGTCATTACGTAATTGAAACCTGCCTCCAGGCCAGTCTTGACGGTCAAAAGGTATTATGTAGTGACGCTAGTAATGTGTGGTCAAACATTCCAGACATTTCGGACGAACTGGTCACTTGACCACACACAGGTAGATCATACATACGGTCACATGTAATCAAATAGGAACATTTCGATACCCAAATAAATCAATGTTCACAATTCAATGAACGCCACAAATAAGTTATTTCAGTTTTATTACTTCTAGACCACGACTGAATGTTTTATGAAAGAAAATCAATTTAACAAGAAATTAATTTTATTGCGAAGAACAAGCATTGATGGTATGAAAACTTATGACCTTATATTTCAAATCTGTGTTTCCAACTGAAACTGTTAAAATAGGGAAATCGACACCAAGAAGCAAGTCCGTGTAATTCCACTTTTTACGTCTTTTGTGTGAAATCAAACCTCGGTCGTAATATTTCATCGGAAGTGTAAAAGGTCTGTTCCTGTGGCGTGTCTTAAGTATGGCTTTCTGGCTAGTTATTCTGTTGTACAGTTATAGGTAAACAGTATTGTGATGTCACCATTTATTTACACAAGACATTCTTTACATTCTGAGATAAAAGGACACGCGATGTAGTTGTGATGTAAAGGGGAAGACCGTTATCAACATTACGTCTTCGTACATTCGAGATAACGCGTGTCCCACGATGTAGACTGGATTGATAGTTATTTCGAAACAGAAAAACTTCGCATTCACTACAGCTATCTTTCTGACGTCACTGATTGTCCACGCAAACGACCAAACTCGCCCCTCGATAGCCCGCCTCTATAAAACTAACAGTGTAAATCCTTTATTGATTAAAGAATTATGGTCTTATCATTTAAAATGCGTGTTTGCTATGTACATATTCCTGTCCAAACGACCCAACAAGGACGATGTTTCAGTAACTATCACAATCCCAACCCAACCACACCCAAAGCCGAACATCCCCCACAACGCCTTGTGTTTTTTCTCAAAGTGCTAGGAGTCACGCAACTAAAATCAATCCCTTAATGGTATTACATCTAACAAAATAGCATTAATATTTGAAGTTCAACAGAAGTAACAACTGTCTATATCCATAGAAACGTGCCAGTGAAAGACTACAAATGACATAATTCAGTAGGTTAAATGGCATCTCGGATTGACGTCGCCTTCAGAAGTCAACAACCAAAAGTTTACAACTTAAACTCACTACCCATTCAGGGGGGAATGGGGCACGACATTTTACACCTGTCTAAACCCGTCCCACATACACTGCAATGTGTTAAAACTTCATTGAAGCCAGATAAATATAATATATCTTTATTTTTTTCCAATTATAAAGCTTAAGCCACAGTGGGCACACATTTTTAACAAACCTCAATTCAGCTAGGGATCTGTTAAGAATGAAAAGGAATTGCTGTCCCTCATTGACTGATTTAATTGCGAGAGGACTTCTCTGACCAAGGCGTTGCGCTTTGTGTACAAAAGTAAATAACCAAATAGATAAATAAACATCTTAAAGTTTCAAATATCTTACGAAATTCGGTTGTTTACCAGCAATCGGTGTTATATTCGATGTGCGTAGTGACACGCTGAATGTGCATGTCAAATATTCCGTATTAAAAAGTTTCAAGCTTTCTGATGACTAGAAAAGATTAGGAATTTCAAAATAGAGAAACGAATAAGACATGTATGGTAGTTTTCACACAGACTAGAAACCATGGGCGCTTTAGGGCGAAAATGTAGACCGCCCACTTACGTCATTTTTGTTAAGTCACAATTAGATAAGGATTAATTACATTTTACATGTAAATAGATTCAATTTTCCGGTTATTTAGAGTTGAAATAGGAGATGTGATACTATTACAAAGACACATAGATACTCTCTCATGCGAGACCGTTGACCCACATACAGTAATATATATCGTTTCAAACCATTTTACTTACTTTTTATATCATCTTTCAGACTTCACAAGATACACACATATGCTTGGGGTGTATAATAATACCAAGCCAAAAACGAGTAGAATATGACCTACATGAGATATCAGATAACTAACGGGTTTCATACATGTAAAGTTGGGAAAATGAGAGATCAAGACACACCTCACAGACACCAACGTAGTTTGACAAGGTGAGGGGAGGTATTGACAAGGAGAGAGGGGGTATTGACAAGGAGACAGGGGGTATTGACAAGGAGACAGAGGGTATTGACTAGGAGAGAAGGGGGTATTGACAAGGAGAGAAGGGCGTATTGACAAGGAGACAGGGGGTATTGACAAGGAGACAGAGGGTATTGACAAGGAGAGAAGGGGGTATTGACAAGGAGAGAAGGGCGTATTGACAAGGAGAGAGGGGGTATTGACAAGGAGAGAGGGGGTATTGACAAGGAGAGAAGAAGGTATTGACAAGGAGAGAGGGGGTATTGACAAGGAGAGAGGGGTTATTGACAAGGAGACAGGGGGTATTGACAAGGAGAGAGGGGATATATACAAAGAGAGAGGGGGTATTGACAAGGAGACAGGGAGTATTGACAAGGAGACAGGGAATATTGACAAGGAGAGAGGGGGTATTGACAAGGAGAGAGCGGGTTATTGACAAGGAGAGAGGGGGTATTGACAAGGAGAGATGGGGTTATTGACAGGGAGACAGGGGGTATTGACAAGGAGACAGGGTATTGACAAGGAGAGCGGGGATATATACAAGGAGAGAGGGGGTATTGACAAGGAGAGAGTGGGTTATTGACAAGGAGAGAAGGGAGTATTGACAAGGAGAGAGGGAATATTGACAAGAAGAGATGGGGTTATTGACAGGGAGAGAGGGGCTATTGACAAGGAGACAGGGTATTGACAAGGAGAGAGGGGATATATACAAGGAGAGAGGGAATATTGACAAGGAGAGAGGGTGTATTGACAAGGAGAGAGGGAGTATTGACAAAAAGAGGAGGTAGTGACAAGGAGAGAGGGGGTATTGACAAGGAGACAGGGGGTATTGACAAGGAGACAGAGGGTATTGACTAGAAGAGAAGGGGGTATTGACAAGGAGAGAAGGGCGTATTGACAAGGAGACAGGGGGTATTGACAAGGAGACAGAGGGTATTGACAAGGAGAGAAGGGGGTATTGACAAGGAGAGAAGGGCGTATTGACAAGGAGAGGGGGGTATTGACAAGGAGAGAGGGGATATTAACAAGGAGAGAGGGGGTTTTGACAAGGAGAGAGGGGTATTGACAAGGAGAGTGGGGTATTGACAAGAAGAGATTGGGCATTGGCAATTCGAGAAGAGTTATTGACAAGGAGACAGGGGGTATTGACAAGGAGACAGGGGGTATTGACAAGGAGAGAGGGGGTATATCTGGTTTTGATCGTTTAGGTGGGTAAAGATTAAGCACTTGTATTTTAAATAATATACATGATATACCTGGTTTGTAAAATTTTTGACAGGTAAACATACAGTAAACATTTAATTTTTTTCTCTTTCTAAATCTTTTTCTTTTAAACTTTATAACATAGCAGTGTTGCCAAATGCTTGTGCTGTTCGGTACCTGTGTGCAGAAAAAACAGGACGTAGTACATAATCAGAAGTAGTACAAACAGAGTACGACAGCTACAGTACCATCACAATTCTCTCTCTCTCTCTCTCTCTCTCTCTCTCTCTCTCTCTCTCTCTCTCTCTCTCTCTCTCTCTCTCTCTCTCTCTCTCTCTCTCTCTCTCTCTCTCTCTCTCTCTCTCTCTCTCTCTCTCTCTCTCTCTCTCTCTCTCTCTCTTTGTTCCCCCTCTCTCTCCACTCTCTCTTTTTCCCCTCTCTCTCTTCCCGCTCTCTCTCTCGCTCTCTCTCTCTCTCTCTATCTCTCCTCCCTCTCATCCCCCCTCTCTGTCTCCCCTCTCTCTCTCCCCCACTCTCTCTCTCTCTTCACATGCAATAATATAACGACATGTATACTAAGTAACGCAGCTAGATTCCTAAATCTTATTAAAATGTAACAAAATATATCAGAATTAAATAGCTGCAGTCAAATGTGGTTTTACATAACTTACCACTACAGAGATAACTTGTGACAGGTTCCGAGACTTATATACTCGGTGTTCTATTTAAGTTTGTATCATTTATTGAAATTACCAACAGTTGATATTTTGGGGATGAGTTTTGATTTTTCCTGACTAAATCTATACACTAATAAATCACAATGATATACTGGTATAATAAAGCTCTGCTTTATGTAATTCTACACCTGTAATTTTGTACAATATCTGAAAGTCTGGTATGCAGGTATGGCGTTTTATCGTTTTATTCGTTTGGTAAGATAAGGTCGCACTTACCTGCGTCATACTCACCTGGTCATGTTTCAGCATAAACGGAAATTGTAGACAAATATTTATGTCGATATACTGGCATTATTCCAAAATCTACCTGACTTGTTTTCGTCGCCAACGACTTTAAAATGTGGATATGTGTATTACTAAAAGTCTGATATTTTACTTGAGGACAGGAGATTCTGTCTTATCAACTTCTATATACCAGCATTGAAAATTCACTGCCTTGGTTTCAACACAAATCGAAATATAAAAAGTCCATGCTTTTAAATCACGTGATCACTATTTCGAATCACCGTATTGTGGGCGTGATGGGGCGTGCAAAAAGAGCATTGATATCTGTCTATAATACCAACAAAGAGACGAAAGATTGTTTTTCTATTATTCTACTGCCCCGCATACATATGCAAATTGTACATGCATTTGCGTGTGACGTCATGATATGACATGATGTTAGGGTAAGAGAATAGATACACTGTTCCAGAGAAACACATTCGAACCTCGTGATCTCGAACTCAGTTGGATCATAGTGAAATTCGAGTGACAGATTATTCGATTTAAGTGAGGTCTAATGTTTTGTGAAAAGTAAGGCAGGGGCCGACGAAATATTCAAACGAGTTCAGGATAACGAGGTTCAGCTGTATATATTGTGGTTTTAAATAATTTGTATCATACTTACGTTCATTGTTGAACTGGAAATGTTTTCATTCTGAAACGGACACGTGACAGTAGGACTCACTATCATAAATATTAATCACCTGTTTAAGAACCCCGGTGCGATATTTTTTTTTTTTTTTTTGTCAGTCTTTAAACTGAGAAACGCTAAGGATAGAAGAGCGATAAATATCAGCTTTATGTAAACTGGTACTACATTCGTATACAGCGATGACTTTCTCCAACCCGAACCCTTACACACAAACACTAATAAACGCCTGATGTGACGACTTAAACTATTTTAGTTTAATATTTAAAATAAATAAACGCTAAAAACTGTTTCAAAAATACTCCAACTTATTGGAGAGTTTTAAACACATTTTTTACTTTTGATAATTAAGAATTTATTTTTCATGCGAAATCTACATCTCGGTGTATGAAAATTCGGACAGGGACAGAGGGAACCAGATATAGTGTAGCAAAATCAACACAAGTACGTCATCATTTTGGTTGCTATGGAGATTAGACTGAGAAGTAAAATTGAACCACTCTTCTTCAGTATTTAGGTGAAAACACTATCGCAAAAACCACAAACAAGCGAAATCGTTATTAATTTGCATGTCCCTGTGTTCTCGGTTTAGCTACCAACAATTGCCCTGTTAAACTTCACCGGGCCATTCACACCTTATATGGCCGCATCGTGATCGTTCAAGGGTCATTTACACAGTAATGAAAAGTATGCGAGTCACAAAGATAATAAAAACGACTGTGGAAAGATTGACTTCGAACTTGTGAACAATTTCCATAGTTTATCGTCAGCACGCTAGTTTATGTAGAATGCATGCCTTATATATATGCCCGTCTTACTTTCGAACAAAACAATGTTTTATGGTTGTTTATACTAAAAAATTCTTCTTGGCGGCCACAGCTTTAAGTTTTAATTAAGAATAGATATTTCCGTTTTCCGTCTCCATTCAAGCGCGCGAACGATTACCTGGTTGTTACAAATATCAGCTAGCCCGAGAGGCGGAAAGAAAACATTTGTCCTCGGTTAGGTTCATCATTCTGACGTTTTGCGCAAGAAAGGGAAAATGTTATAGACATATCATGTTTAGGAAATTTTGTAAGTTTGTGAAATAATGTGTAATATTCATTTAACGTTAATCAAATGTCTTGATAGCTAGAGATAGAAGTTCTAATGTAAAATTATCGTTATATGTTCACAGCCTTGAAGACGTAACAAAGCAGAGTACTTCCGTCATCAGAACTACACTGAGTGACGATACATCTATACACGTCCTGAACCGGAAGTTCTGTGTCGTTTCTCTGATCATACTTGCGCTGTTGGTGTGCGCAAAGCAATATGTCGGTGAACCCATCCAATGCTGGTGTCCTGCCGAGTTCGCCAAATTTCACGTGTCGTATGCCAACAGTTACTGCTGGATAAAGAACACATATGGTGTCCCTTTTGATGAAATACTACCGGTGGAGGACGACGAAAGACAAGATACAGAAATAATGTATTACCAGTGGGTCCCTCTTATCTTCGTTCTCATGGCGTTCCTCTTCTACTGCCCAAAAATCTTCTGGAAAGGATTTTACCCCAAGTCTGGCATAAACATTAAGAAGACTCTGAATCTTGCTAGTGATGCAACGTATCTAGGCCCAGAGAAACGCGCTGAGAGAATGATTGATATTGCGTCCTATATAGATAAATGGATTGAAATCAGAGACGGGAGAAGTTCCGCATACCAGCGTATACAAGCACTTAAGGAAAGCATGGGGCATCGTGGAATACACTTCGGAAATTATCTGACTTTGATCTACTTGATAACATGCGGTCTGTACACGGCGAACACTATTGGGCAATTGTTCCTGGTAGATGCTCTGATGGGCAATGACTTTTTGAATCTGGGTCCAGACTTTGTGAAAGGCGTATCAACTAATCAGAAATGGGAAGACTTGAGGAGATTTCCTCGTGTTACATTTTGTGATTTCAACATTCGACAACTCCAAAATGTCCAACGATGGACCGTTCAGTGTTCCTTACCGATCAATCTGTTTAATGAGAAGATGTTTATCATCCTGTGGTTCCTGCTGGTGATAATGTCAATTGTAAACATCGTAAATTTTGTATACAACTTTGCTATGCTTTTCTTCCCGCGGCGGAAAAACGAATACATCCGGAAATACATTGATGACGAACAGCTTGCACCGGAACTGCGTCACAGCAGTAGACTTAGTGATGTTCAGGTGAAATTTGTTGACAAGTACTTGAGACAAGATGGCGTCTTTCTCATCTGGTTGATCAGTCACAACACAAGCCCAGTTGTGGCGTCAGAGATTGTAGCCAAACTCTGGAAGGACTACTGCGACAAACCACATGTGAAGACATTTTTGTCCCTGGATTCAGAAACATGAACAGCCATTAACTATCACAACATGTTTAATAACCCATATTTGCCATTTCCTTACCGGAAGTGCTCGTCTATACTCATTATCACCTAAATGATTTATTCTATCGACGTGCAAAAATGTTTTTTTTATATTCTTTTAATTGGCTTACTGTCTGAAGTGCCTTTTTATTATAAAGGTTTTGAAACTAGTGACATATAACAATTTAAACCCCGACATTAACGACGCAAAATATAGCTGATATTTTATCACACGATTGAAACAGTTCGTAAAGATGGCGTCGGGCCACAGACCATTTTCCCAGTGTTCCTGTTTGTAGCAGTGGAATGGACTCAACTCTTGGTCGACGTAATATCCAGTAGAAAGCGGTAACGGTTACGTTTATATCTTCCGTCTGAACACTAGGCACACTTCTTCTAATTTACTCTAAATGTTTATGATAATTCTTTTGCCAAAGTCTCTTTTTTCATATTTCATAACAAGGTATCTTTGTTTGAAGTGAAAAAGTGCAAAAATTTTGAAGTCGTGTGTACAAGGCAGAAATGTTATAAATATTTGTTCTATTTCGTGTTCGAAAAGATTGAAACCACTGCTGTGATAATTACTCTTATGTGTATAAAACTGGACCATAATGTAACGAACCTTAGAATTCCACAGCTACAAAAATTGTGACTTAAGCGTACTAAACCATTGATTTACCTTAGGTAGACCAAATATCCTTGTTTACAACATCGGATTTTTTGTGTACATCTTCTGAACACGTCGTTAAAATATTATATCTGCGATTTGTGTTAGAGAAATTAACTTATGCCAACCTAAACTCATTCACTCAGAGGCTTGATCGCTTCATAATTCTCTGTTGGCAGACAAGAGTCTAATTGAGCCAGACTTATGTCAAACTACACACGAATGCAAGCCGTATTTTTTCAGTAATTCCTATCTACTGGTTTCATTCCTAATTCCTCGGCGTGAACGTCAACTGAAGACAATAGTTAACTGACATTTTACAGAAAGATGTAGGGATTTCGTGGTCTCCGTGAACTCTTAACTCAACCAAGTGAGAACTTAACTAAAAGTGAAGTAATTATGTTGTATGTCAATTTAACATGTATACCATTGCTAAACAATTAAAAACCAAAACGATTACAATAAAATCCGTTACTGCATTATGTCCAAAATATTCTGTCATTGTAAACATTATATAACATCGCTTAGCAATTAAAATCCTGCCGTTTGTGTTGAAATTCTTAAATTTTGTTTGTAAACGTTTTCGTATATATATTAAGCTTTTATAATGTAATTCAAACATATTATTTGAGAGAGGGGGAGAGCGACAGACAGACAGACGGACAGACAGACTGACGGAGAGAGAAAGACAGATAGAGAGGTGGAGAAAGAAAGACAAAGAGAGAAGGGGAGAAAGAAAGACAGAGAGAGAGAAAGGGAGAGAAAAAGACAGAGAAAGACTAAGGGTTGCTTATTCATATATTATGTGATTGATGTTTACCTATATCAAAAATAGACAATTTATGTTCTAGGCTTACAAGACTATATACATATATATAGATAGATTTTTTCTTGAGCGTCGAATTCTGTCCAGTAATTTTACTAAATATAAAAGTTGATGGACACAGGCATGTTTTTGCCTCTATATGCCTATTTATTTGGTACTACATGCATGTACCTCGAGAAAGAAGAATGAAAATAAGCGACATACACATTAAAAAGCACTGATCAGAGCATTCAATTAATACTGTAATTATCATGTATGCAATAAAACAAAAACACAAAAATCCGAAAATCCTTCACGATAGAAAATTGCTTAAGTTAATTGTTTTCAATATATAGATAAAATTGATATGATAAGTACTTCACTTCAAGTTACTGAAGTCATTTTTGTCAACCCCCGTGTTGACTTGTAGGTGCTGAATGTTATATTTTGAATATCTAATAGACATGATTGTATCGTTTGTTGTAATATAAAATGTATTGGAACAATTATGTACTTCAGTTCTTTGTTTTGTTATTTTTTTTATTCAGTCTAGTCAATCACAATCCAAATGCCAAGCTAATTAAGGAAATATTAATTACAAAATGATACTGTCTCTATGTTTTAATTGAAATTTGAGTTCTTTTTCTTCGCATTCCGCAACAGACAAATATGTGGTAATTTTACATGTAAGAGTTACTTCCCTTTAGTCCTGATTTCGACGTTCATCCCTTTATCTGAAAGTTTAAGTGTGAAAAAGAATAATACGAATGAACACTTGCAAACTGCTTTTCTGTTTTATGAAAAAATGTTGTTTTAGAAGAAAGCTATCATTACCTACAAGCGGAAAATTGAAACGAAATACCATCCAACCAGTCTTGTCCAATGACATAAGATTGAAAAAACCACACAAGTGAATCGTGCCTTTTAATATTAATTTACAATTTGATAAAAAAAAAAAACCAAACAATAAAGTAAACAGCGTCGTACAGCTGTTCCGTCCTTCTAGGACTCGTCAGTAATACTACATCATACAGCTGTTCCGTCCTTCTAGGACTCGTCAGTAATACTACATCATACAGCTGTTCCGTCCTTCTAGGACCCGTCAGTAATACTACATCATACAGCTGTTTCATCCTTCTAGGCCTCGTCAGTAATACTACATCATACAGCTGTCTAGTCCTTCTAGGACTCGTCAGTAATACTACATCATACAGCTGTTCCGTCCTTCTAGGACCCGTCAGTAATACTACATCATACAGCTGTTTCATCCTTCTAGGCCTCGTCAGTAAAACTACATCATACAGCTGTCTAGTCCTTCTAGGACTCGTCAGTAATACTACATCATACAGCTGTTCCGTCCTTCTAGGATTCGTCAGTAATACTACATCATACAGCTGTTCTGTCCTTCTAGGACCCGTCAGTAATACTACATCATACAGCTGTTTCATCCTTCTAGGACTCGTCAGTAATACTACATCATACAGCTGTCTCGTCTTTCAAAGACTCATCAATGATGCTACATCATACAGCTGTTCCGTCCTTCTAGAACTCATCAGTGATGTTACATCATACAGCTGTTTCATCCTTCTAGGACTCGTCAGTAATACTACATCATACAGCTGTCTCGTCTTTCAAAGACTCATCAATGATGCTACATCATACGGCTGTTCCGTCCTTCTAGAACTCATCAGTGATGTTACATCATACAGCTGTCTAGTCCTTCTAGGACTCGTCAGTGATGCTACATCATACAGCTGTCTAGTCCTTCTAGTACTCGTCAGTGATGCTACATCATACAGCTGTCTCGTCCTTCTAAGACTCATCAGTGATACTAAGTGCCTAATTTTTGAGGCCTGGGAGGCAAATGAGAACATTTAATTGTGATCGAAAGAAATGTCAGGATCTAGATTGGGATGTACTCTAGCCCTATAATTCAATAAATTTCCTAATTTTCATATCTCTATCATTTTTTAAAGAACGAATGTAAACCATGACACCACAGTATGACAATATACATCTCCGCTTTCTGAGAAACACTTGGTTCGAACCATGAACATGGCGGAGACGCTATCACTTCAATACATAAATTCCATTTACGTAAACATGTAAAAGAATGTTCGAATTTTTAATCTTCACTCTCAAAAGTTCAACGTTTGGTACCGTTGGTAATCATTAGCTCGTTTTCTCGTCATTGTTTTTATGCTCATTAAAACTATCCCAGATATTTTCCACGAGAATGCTGGAGTAAACTGCTCCAAGCTGATAACTGACTAACGATATCACAAACACTCCATCCACACCGAGATAGTTGTCCAAAAAGTCGTCAAATAGTTCGCTATCATTTCCGACATATTTGTGGGTACTACCCTGGTTTTCGCTGAGTAGTAGACATTTTCTGATAAACATCTTTCTACGTCGTCGAAGGAAAATAGCAAAATGGTCGACCAAACTGACTATGTTCACTATTGATAGAAGGACGAGCAAAAACCACGTCAAAATAAAAATAATTTCGTTGAACAAATTATTTGGGAGCGAGCATTGCACGGTGTATGTTTGAATATTGATCATACGTCGGACGAAAGTGTCACAAAACGTCACAGTTGGAAAACGCAACATCCCTGGTCGGTGCTCTTCGTATTTTCTCTTAAACACGATATCAGTTCCTAGAGACAAAAAATGATTACCTAAAAATTTGTCCAGTAAGAATAATTGTCCGATAGAATTAAGAACATACAAGAAACAGCAGAATACATAGGTTTTTGCAAGGTAACTCTCCCGTGAAATCTCGAAGCTGTACGCTTGTTTTCGTAAACGAATTCCCTGTTTCTTTTTCTGCATACGAATTAAAATCCATTTGTTCACAGAATGAGCGATATTTGTGTGATCGTCCGCATTCATGATGTTTCGATTCTTTGTAGTTCTAGATACGAAACTAAAACTTGAAAATGTCTGTAGCTGCATCCACGTCCATTTTGGAATAACAAAAAGTACACATTGAGTAAAAAGAACGACGGGCACCCAAGGATAGTAATATATCTCGTAGACTTTTCTGTCTTCGGGATAAGGTGAAATGGTTTGTCGAGATGATACATAATAGGTATTTCTGACGTAACAGTAGTTGTTTGTAAATTCAACCTGTTTATCAGTAAATTGATCCGGGCACCAACATTTGATCTGCTCGCCAAATACTTCCTTAGCCACCACCGCTGTTGTCGCAAGAACAAACAGGACAGAACAATAGCTACTATTAAGATGCTGGATGAAAAATTCCCCAATTCTGTTATTGGCCCTGTTGTCCCTATCACGTTCAATCGCTGTGCATGCATCCTCGAATCTAAAATTTAAAAATCAAATTTTCAACAAAAAAATAAATAAATAAAGAGTGAAACAGACTACACGTAGAGTTAAACATACTTATTAATGAAACATTGAAATTGGAAATCAAATTCATTTTCTTACCGAAAGACTATTTGACGTCCTTGTGACAGAAAATTATGCATTTATAACAATGTTGATAAAATGTAAAGAATAGTGCTTTATATCAAACAATACCATATATATACAACGTATATATTCCGGTATAAAAATTCTGTAATATTTGAGAATCAAAACTTGAAACAGCGACTCATGGCAATTCGCTTTAGCAGTTTCGAAAATTCTTTCACTTACCTTAACTTTCTACTTTCGCGTTTTTAACTTTTAAAAGGAACAAACATGAACGGTAAATAATGAAAAAAAACATAAATGCCAATAAATATGTATCAGATATACCCAGAAAACTACTCAAAACGCAGAAGCACAGACAGAAGTTGCAGAAATGGAATTTTATAGCGACTGTACTGTTAGAAATGATAATGACTTACGACCCCATAGCTGCTAGTGGAAACACTCCTGTTCCATCGATACAAGGAGTAGTGATGTTCTCCTATCTAGCCACGTTATAGTGCATGTAAACATTTTTGTTATCGTTATCAGCATTGTCACATGACAGACAGAAAGAACAGTGTGGCTGGATACGGGAATCGGTTGTGTTAGCCATTTCGTATTTATAACGTCAACTTTACTGGTAATATATTTTGTGTCAATAACATAATTTAGTTAAGTTTATCATTAAAATATTGTTTTTACGTATTTTCCTCCCCAAACTTATTTAACTCATATTTATTTTTATAGTCAATTCATTCATAATTCTAATGGAGACTTGCTAACGTGCCTCGCGCGCATTCCTAACTTAATATCTTATGGAATACAACCCGGATACTAGAATAACCTTAATACCATGTAATTGACTACGAATGGTTAAGCAAAAACGGCATTTTTATCCCTTTTCAATGAGACAAAAATGCATGTCAAAGAGCGTGTCTAATTCCAAATTGCTTTTAAGAAGAAATTTTTTTATTAAGGGCACGTAATTATCCACCTACAATACTTTGGGACGTGTCTAAAGATACTGTTTATCTGCTTATAAAACACATCCAATTTTGTCATTCCTTGCTATAACAGGACTACGGGTGGTAAGGTTTCCTTAAAGTAAAGAGCCCTGCAGCACTTGACTATATCCTGTGTAATTCCTCAAGGGCTGAGGACAAACAGATAACACTGATTCATTGATACTATACTTTGGACCTTTATGTTGGTCCTTTGATCAAGTGAGAAAGGCTGCCCAAAAGCCATCGCATATCAACAACCGAAGTTTACATGTGAAACTAACTACCCACTTCGGGGGGAAATCCCGACATTTTACACATGTCAAAATCCGACCCACATACATTAAATTTGTTATAATACATTTTCATAAACACAAATAAAACAAACGTGAAGATTTCGTTCAAATGTCACCAGTTATCATTTCAAACCACAGAGAGAGCAAAATCTTTTACCAAATTTTAACTTAGGTAGAGAATCCTAGTTTCTCATTGGCTGATTTAGTTGCGTGAGTTCTAAAGATGACTCTATCATAGAATGCTTTAAACAGTGTCTTGGTTTAAAAAAAAAAACATAAAAAAATATTTTTATCGAATTTTGGGTTTAATAAACTCCCCATCTAGTTATCAACAAATTTTGACTTCACTCAGTTTCCTACGAACTATGGAACGATGTGGACAGTGGGAACAACGTGGACAGCGGGACGATGTGGACAATGGAACAACGTGAACAGTTAAACCACGTGGACAGTGGAGCAACGTGGACAGTGGGAACAACGTGGACAGTGGAACAACGTGGACAGTGGAACAATGTGGACAATGGAACGATGTGGACAGTGGAACAACGTGGACATTGGAACAGCGTGGACAGTGGGAACAACGTTGACAGTGGAACAACGTGGACAGTGGAACAACGTGAACAGTGGGAACAACGTTGACAGTGGGAACAACGTGAACACTGGGAACAACGTGAACAGTGGGAACAACGTGGACAGTGGGAACAACGTGGACAGTGGAACAACGTGGAACTTGGAAATAACGAGGACAGTGGGAACAACGTGGACAGTCGAACAATATGAACAGTGGAACAACGTGGACAATGGAACAATGTGGACAGTGGAAAAACGTGAACAGTGGGAACAACGTGGACAGTGGGAATAACGTGGACAGTGGAACAACGTGGACAGTGGAACAAAGTGGATAGTGGAACAACGTGGACAGTGGAAACAACGTGAACAGTGGGAACAACCTGAACAGTGGGAACAACGTGAACAATGGAACAACGTGAACAGTGGAAACAACGTGAACAGCGGAACGACGTGGACATTGGAACAACGTGGACAGTGGGAACAACGTGAACAGTGGAGCAACGTGGACAGTGGAACTACGTGGACATTGGGAACAACGTGAACAGTGGAGCAACGTGGACAGTGGAACTACGTGGACATTGGAACAACGTGGACAGTGGGAACAACGTGAACAGTGGAGCAACGTGGACAGTGGAACTACGTGGACATTGGAACAACGTGGACAGTGGGAACAACGTGAACAGTGGAGCAACGTGGACAGTGGAACTACGTGGACATTGGAACAACGTGGACAGTGGGAACAACGTGAACAGTGGAGCAACGTGGACAGTGGAACTACGTGGACATTGGAACAACGTGGACAGTGGGAACAACGTGAACAGTGGAGCAACGTGGACAGTGGAACTACGTGGACATTGGAACAACGTGGACAGTGGGAACAACGTGAACAGTGGAGCAACGTGGACAGTGGAACTACGTGAACAGTGGGAACAACGTGGACAGTGGAACAATGTGGACAATGGAACGATGTGGACAGTGGAACAACGTGGACATTGGAACAGCGTGGACAGTGGGAACAACGTTGACAGTGGAACAACGTGGACAGTGGAACAACGTGAACAGTGGGAACAACGTTGACAGTGGGAACAACGTGAACACTGGGAACAACGTGAACAGTGGGAACAACGTGGACAGTGGGAACAACGTGGACAGTGGAACAACGTGGAACTTGGAAATAACGAGGACAGTGGGAACAACGTGGACAGTCGAACAATATGAACAGTGGAACAACGTGGACAATGGAACAATGTGGACAGTGGAAAAACGTGAACAGTGGGAACAACGTGGACAGTGGGAATAACGTGGACAGTGGAACAACGTGGACAGTGGAACAAAGTGGATAGTGGAACAACGTGGACAGTGGAAACAACGTGAACAGTGGGAACAACCTGAACAGTGGGAACAACGTGAACAATGGAACAACGTGAACAGTGGAAACAACGTGAACAGCGTGGAACAACGTGGACGACGTGGACATTGGAACAACGTGGACAGTGGGAACAACGTGAACAGTGGAGCAACGTGGACAGTGGAACTACGTGGACATTGGGAACAACGTGAACAGTGGAGCAACGTGGACAGTGGAACTACGTGAACAGTGGGAACAACGTGGACAGTGGGAACAACGTGAACAATGGAACAACGTGAACAGTAGGAACAACGTGGACAGTGGGAATAACGTGGACAGTGGAACAACGTGGACAGTGGGAACAACGTGGACAGTGGGAACAACGTGGACAGTGGAACAATGTGGACAATGGAACGATGTGGACAGTGGAACAACGTGGACATTGGAACAGCGTGGACAGTGGGAACAACGTTGACAGTGGAACAACGTGGAGAGTGGAACAACGTGAACAGTGGGAACAACGTTGACAGTGGGAACAACGTGAACAGTGAAACAGTGGAACAACGTGAACAGTGGAACAACGTGGACAGTGGTAACAACGTGAACAGTGGAACAACATGGACAGTGGGAAGAACGTGAACAGTGGGAACAACGTGGACAGTGGAACAATGTGGACAATGGAACGATGTGGACAGTGGAACAACGTGGACAGTGGGAACAACGTGGACAGTGGAACAAAGAGAACAGTGGGAACAACGTGGACATTGGAACAACGTGGACAGTGGGAAGAACGTGAACAGTGAAACAACGTGGACAGTGGGAACAACGTGAACAATGGAACAACCTGAACAGTGGAACAACGTGGAGAGTGGAACAACGTGGACAGTGGAACAACGTGAACAGTGGGAACAACGTGAACAGTGGGAAGAACGTGAACAGTGGGAAGAACGTGAACAGTGGAAACAACGTGAACAGTGGAACAACGTGGACAGTGGGAAGAACGTGAACAGTGGAACAACGTGGACAGTGGTAACAACGTGAACAGTGGAACAACGTGGACAGTGGGAAGAACGTGAACAGTGGGAACAACGTGGACAGTGGAACAATGTGGACAATGGAACGATGTGGACAGTGGAACAACGTGGACAGTGGGAACAACGTGGACAGTGGAACAAAGAGAACAGTGGGAACAACGTGGACATTGGAACAACGTGGACAGTGGGAAGAACGTGAACAGTGAAACAACGTGGACAGTGGGAACAACGTGAACAATGGAACAACCTGAACAGTGGAACAACGTGGACAGTGGAACAACGTGAACAGTGGGAACAACGTGAACAGTGGGAAGAACGTGAACAGTGGGATCAACGTGAACAGTGGAACAGTGTGAACAGTGGAACAACGTGGACAGTGGAACAACGTGGACAGTGGGAAGAACGTGAACAGTGGAACGAAATTGCGGGACATAAGATTCAAGACATAATTCTAGAAGGGAGAAGATGACATTTTGCGGGCGTTGCATGGTCAAACGTCTTTGCGTCCAACATCGATAAGGCAACAGCTTGTCTAAATTTCCACTGTGGCTGGTCCGTTGTTGGAAACCAAAATACCATCGTATATTTTCATTGACGATATCATTGCTCATTGCCCGATTCCAAATACTGTATTAAGAGACATATGTGAACTCATCTGGATAGCATAGAGTCTTCCTTTTTTCCGGAGTGAGGGTTTGGAGGAGGGGGTATTCCCTAGTGTTGTGTCGGCTTTCAGGTGTTCCTTATTTCTTCTTGTCGCATTTGGTCATTAGTTCGATATTTGATTCCTTATTTGGTATAACATTTATTTCATTTAATGAGTTTAAACACATTTCGAGTTCTGGAAATAAATAACCGCCTTTGAAATTCGCCTATAAGTTAAGATGTACCACGAAAAATCTTAACTGACCTTTCCAGTACATCTAATGCGTCAAATGTTTTCTGTCACCGAATCCAATCAATATTGCATCATATTCTTCGTATGAACACACTTGAAATGGGGGACATCTCCAGCCCAGGTGACAGAAGTTAGCGGTGAGTTCCCTACAACCATATCAGATTATCGTGCAATTTGGAGTACACTCCGGCTAGATAACCTTATTTCCGCCCAAAAATCCCCTCAAAAATTATCACCGTTATCAAAGTTAGCCGAAACGTTTTCGTTCGTGACACTTCCTGGCTGACTGACTTACTCA